CCGCCTCCAACTGCCGCTTCCAATTGCCACCTCTGACTGCCACTTCCGGTCGCCAACTCCGACCGCCACCTCCGGTCATCGCCTCCGGTCGCCGACTCCGACCGCTGCTTCCGATCGCTGACTCCGACCGCCGCTTCCGGTCGTCGCTTCTGGAAGCCAACTCCGACCGCCGCTTCCGGTCGCCACCTACAACCACTTCCAGTCGCCGACTCCGACCGTTGCTTCAGGTGGCTGTCGCCTCCGATCGCCGCCTCTGACCGCTGCCTCCGGTGACTAGTTAGTAGATATGTTCACAAAATCGCTTAAAGGACCTCGGATTGATTACATTTGTAACAAGCTTGGTGCATATGATATATATGCTCCAGCTTGAGGGGGAGTGTTACAGATATCGTGAATATATTACAGATATTGTGGATACATATATTATGGCTATTATCCTCACTATCAATAAGGGATATGATTAGATTAGTTTCCATAATATTAGAGATTAGTATCTCTATCATTTATTGTATTCACTCTATAAATAAGATTGGTATGTGTACAACAATACACACAATTCCTGAATCACAACAAAAATAATTTATTGACAAATAAGAATAATCTTTTGCTACAATATAAATTATTTATCTAAAATGTAAAATATAATTTATATGTTTATAAATATCTATTTATACAAATTTTAAATATAATTTATGTATTCAAATATAATATTTATTTGTATATATAATTTATTATAAATTTTAATTATATATAATAAATATTTAACTTGTGCACAGGTTAAAATACTAGTAATAAAGAAAAAAAATGGGACATTGGTATATCAAAGGAACTAATCATGAGAAGAAGACCCTTTAGTTTGTTAGCAGTTCCTTGAAAGAAGTGAGAGCTTATTAGCAGCTCCGTACATAATTGGACGTCCATGAAAATATGCTAATTTGTGAAATACAGATATTACAGTCATTTCCAATGATTTACAGATGAAATAAAGCATCCTGATAAATATTATTTCTTTTGTATTTCTGAGCAGAAAATATAGTAAGGTAGATAATAATATCACTGACTCATCTCTCTCGTGTACTGTAGTAAAAATACAATAATGAATATTTTTCCCATGTAATACGATGCAAAGAAATCTAAGTGTAATTAATAAAATTGCCAATTAGACTATCAGAATGCATAAAGAACCAATTGGTTTCCTTCCCATCTGAAACATTAGGCATCAACTAGACCTTAACTGCATCACATAAGTATAGGACCAAAAGGCAGATTATTTATTCAAGCAAGCAGCAATATTGAAAAAATTACTTGTCGTATGTCAGGTAGCACTTTGTGCAAGACACCTTTATATTCACAGATCAGTTTCACCTGCAGATGTAAAAAAAATATACTTAAATAATTAAAAATTAAAAACAATTATTTTGGTTGGTGTAATTGCTTAAGGGGAGGACAAAAAAACACACATGCATGCACACTATTTGATTGCAGTTTTCATTTCACAAGATCATCAACACCATTCCTAAAAAAGTCTATAAAAGAGCAGGGAAATTTTAAGTCATTCTGATACATTGTGAACTTTTCAGTCATGATGCATCTTTAACAGTCTATACCAAAGCAAAAATCGACTATGGCTTATGGCATAGTCTCGGATTCAAGTCTTGCAAATAGAAAAAAAAAATATGATTGAGAGAAGACCCACTAAAAGTGTCTAGACAGGTTTCAGCAAAACCAATGAATAGTGTGATTACCCAAAGTGAATAAGCTTTATCCCCAACCCTCCACCACTAGGCTGAGGTATACTTGCAGATTACATTTGGAGCAAAGCCCAAAAATATTGCTATTCATTTACATAATCCCAATCTCATAAAATACTGGGATGCAGCTTCCTATTACTGAATCCCTAGAATATTGGAATTTTAAAAAGGGAAAATCAATCATGTCAAACAGTAATCCTCTGCCATAGTGTTGTAGCAGTTTCAGTAACCGAAAGAAAATGGTGAAAAGTACAATGCTATCAATGGTGAATGGCAGTTCTACTAAAATCCACAGTGCTATGGTGCTGCCAGAACCGGTATTTGGCTATGTTACATACCTTCCCTTCATAATTAATGCACTGATGATTGAATGAAGCATTTATATCTGCAACATGGAAAAATGCGTTATAGCATACTTGGCTGTGTTTCAATAGTGCACACACGTAAACATGGATTCAATAACAAACTCTAGTTATAACTGAGCATATAAAAAGGTGAAATGGAGCATAGGTTTAACCACTCATCTTCCTTCAGAAAAGGCAAATTCCAAAACCAAAATTTCACCAATGTTATAAAATGTAACAGATTATCATGATGATTGTAATGTAAAATGTAAAATTGTAAATATAAATAGATAAAATCATTCTTGCAAAAGGCAAGATGGATCACATTGTGAAGCCAAAAAACAATTATTTTTCCCGCAAACTAACATCTGCCCCATTTACTAAAACATAATAAAAGGGAAAGGAATGCAAATGCATATGTTCAACAGATAACACCTAGCTTTCTGTAAAAAAAAGGTAAAGGCAAAAAATAATAATGTAAATTTGATCTCAAAAGACATGACTACAAGGAAGGATCATTACCTGGATTTGAATAAAAACCCAGTATTATTGTTTGCCTGTAAAATCTGGCATGATCATCAAGATACCTAAAAAATACAAACATACAAATCTCAAAATTCTGGTATAAACAATGTTACAGATATTGTGAATATATTACAGATATTGTGGATACATATATTATGGCTATTATCCTCACTATCAATTAGGGATATGATTAGATTAGTTTCTCTATCATTTATTGTATTCACTCTATAAATAAGATTGGTATGTGTACAATAATACACACAATTCCTGAATTACAACATGGTATCTAGAGCTTATTAGGTTTTTCTTTTAGAATATATTTTTTTCTCTTCTTGCAAAGGCCCTTGCTGCCACCTCCGGCTGCCGCCGGACGCCGCGCCGGCGGGCGCCCCTG